AAAGACGCACGTATCTTCACTATCATATTGCAACCAATGGAATTCATAATTTAGAGGAAAGGGGAAGGAAAGATCAACTAGGTAATGCTGGTTTCCATCCATGTCAATGGCACCAACTATATACAAACTGTAATCCATGTTCCATTGAATTTTACTGAGAGAAAGAGACTGATGAGATGAAAGCCAAACGAATAAAGGTGGCACAAAAAGCTTGTATTTTAACTTTCATCATCGTCAATATTCAAATCCCCAATTCAGTGAAGGCGATTACCCAAAGTTAGAAAAGCAAATGGGTCTTCAAATGTGGTGTGTGTGACTACATTAAATTCTAAAGCAGAATTTTGCTAGTAGGTAAAGGCACACAATAAATAGTTTTCAACATTTTCTTAGCCTGATTTTCTAAAGTACAATTGTATTCAATTAGGTGGCCATACCTGTCCTGAGGTACTCAGGAGGAGTGAAAGCCAGGTTAGTGCTGTAACTCTTGCCATCCCTGCTGTTCTTCATGAGGCCAAAGCATGACAGCCTGGGATTACCGTCCTGTGGGTGCCAAGTTAAAAACCCAGATGGTAAATAATACATTAAAGAAAAAAAAAACATCTTCATTCAATAAAATGAAGAGATTTCAAAAAGCAGGCCTTATTAATTTTACCTGATCAAACAAGACCCGGTAGGCATTGAGATCATGATACAGAGCACGACCTTTGCCACTGCAATAGTCTAGAGCTTGAGCCAAATACAGAGCCACCCTCAACCTCATAGCCCATCTCATGGGCTGGCTCTCCCAGTGAAATAGATGCTTGGCCAGAGTCTCATGAGCCATGAACTCCGCTACAAGCAGCCTCTCATCTCCTTCGCAGCAGCATCCAATCAGATTCGCCAATCTCTCGCTCCTCAGCGTCCCCACCGATCTCGCTTCCTCCTATCAAAACCATCATTGATTCACTTCAACTTCAAAAGCTTCCATTTTTATAAAAATATTTTACAACCCAGAAAGAAAAATCACAAATTTATAGTAATGGTAAGTTTAACGACGGACCAGGAACTGGCGAGAGTCGGGCCAGGCCAGCTTGTTGAATCGCTTGACGGCGACCAAACGGCCGTTATCGAGCTTTCCCTTGTAGACAACATTTGGAGCTTTTTCGCCGTGCTCCGAGACTATGTTGTCGGAGGAGAAGCCACACGTGGCGGTTTTCAGTTGGTCCAGGCTGAATTCAGTGAAGCTCGGCCATAAGTTTTTGTCACTTTTGCCCCCATTCTCTGCAACAAAACAACGACGGCATCACTCAGAGCTCAAAAGAAACAAAACAATCAAACCAACAAAAAAAGAAAACAGCGAAAACAGAAAGTTTTGAACTTGTGATGAGAAGAATGGTTACCGAGTTCGGAGGATTCGAGGACGGAGGGTTTAAGGTGGGAGGTGAACCAGCAGAGGGAGAATCTGGAGCAGCGGCCTCCCATTGAAGGAGAGAAAGAGAGGGATCGAGCGGTGGAGAGGGAGTGGGAAAGTCAAATGATCAGTCGGTGGACATCAATCAGACACAGAGAAGCTTCAGTTTAATTTGCAGAGAGTGAAGTTTTGTGGATCCAAAGTTGATTCATTTCAGACTTTCAGCCTCTCTCTCTGCTCTGTGTGTAATAGCTATGCTAAGTTCAAATCAACTTCAGTGTAACAAAGTAAAATATAAAACTGAAATTATATTCTTAATTTGTGCTTTAGATTATTAATAAGGGAGTATTATTATTTGTTTATTATTGTTTTGATTTGAAGGCCATTGCCATTTTAATCAGTGTATGTGTGTGTATGTGTGCTTTCACGTTTGGTGTGTGAGTGTCAGAGGCAGACTCTGTGTGTGTGTTGCAAAATGCAAAAAAAATGCAACCCACCAAGAAAGAAAAAAAAGGAAAAAAATTGCAGAACGAAAAGGAAACGGCCTTTTTCTGTCTACTTTCTTTACTTTCTTGATGGTCTGCAAAGTCATCATTTTCTCTCTCCTTTTTCTTCAAGAGTGGATTAGTGGTCAAATCAAATGGCCGTTTTGTTCTTGAATTAGGTCAACAAAGTCAAACAAAACAAATTGGATGAATTGATGTGTTAAATTCTTCTTTTTTTTTATTAATCACTCGTCATTAACATCAATCTGAGGATTTAATTTTGTGTTTTTTTGTTTAGTCCCCATCCGCTTATAGTAGTTTCACAAATTTGACAGAAAGGGGTCCCAGGGGGAAAAAACAAAACAGGCTTCATTATTCTAATACAAGAATGTTGACAACAACTGATGGCAGTTGGTGGTGACAACATTTGGACTAATTGATTGGTCTCTCTGTGTTTTATGCCTAAACTGGCGTCTTACTGAGTAGACAGGCATGGCAGTACTTAGCAGCTGCCAAAGGGCCATTAAAGCCTGATCATTTCGAGCACTAAAACTATATGCATATAGATTTCTGTTTTTTTTTTGGGGTCAAATAGTGACTTCTGTTCTGTATCAGAGGTTCAGGGTAATTAAGTAGCTTTAATGAATGTTGAAGTCTATTTAATCGTATTAGTTTTGAAAGGTGACAAGGGAATTCAGATGTGGGAAATGGAAGAAGAGCAGAAAGTAGTTATTTACCCTACAACATAGTTTTTTTTTTTTTGGTTCTGAACTCCACAACACAGGTCAATGATAGGAATCGTTATATTTCAAGTCATCATCATTCGTGCAAAATATTATCTAGATCGGAAGTTGTTTGGTTACTTAAAATGTGTTTGAAAAAAACACGGAAAATGTCGATAACTCAATGACTAAACAATTTATAATTTAGCTGATCTTTTTACATGAGTAATTCTTAAAAGACAACCTAAAACCTGAACGATTACTGGAGAAAGCCTCTATATAAAATATATACAGTTCGATGTTGATTGCTGTTATGGAAAAGCTATGCATAATGATGAATTATTAATGAAGTTGTTAATGAAAATACTAATAACCTATGATCATGCCATTGCCCACCATACACTGAAGCCATGTGTTTGCAATCCCAACTTGTTCTTCCACGAAACTTCAACATCAACACAGATTATATACTGTACAAGACAAAAACAAAAGCAAAAAAACAAAGTGTGTGGCTTGACAAGGTTCCTCTGTTTTGAGGGAGTGACAGTTCCAGCTTATAGAGAGAGAGAGAGAGAGAGAATCATTTCTTACTTTTTACTCTTGTTTGACATAATTTAGCAAATACAAGTCCAATCCTGGGTAAAAATTAACCACGAATATAATGCATATATGCTAGTAGAAGAAGAAAAAACAGAGCATGCTTGATCAGACAGTGTGACAAGTGTTGCTATAAGTAGGAACAGTGTAACATGCGCCCATATGGGGGTCTAGAGGACCCTCTTTTACATGAAAAAGAAAGAACATATCAATGGAGAAAAGTGGTTGGTTTTTTTTAGAGAGTTTAGTTTAGACATGCCTCAATCATGACATTGACAAGGCTCATATAATAAAATAGATCACACAAATAGACTTGGCAAAAAAAATTGCTCTCTTTATTGACCAGCTTTTGCAGCTGAAATTGCGCCAGCGTGCTTTCTGGTGATGGAGGAGAGTGGGGCAATATGCTGCTCATCTTTATCCTGCCTCTCAACTCATCTCATATATAACTCATAAGATGGCCCAGCTATACATATGGGGCCTCTCTCTATGCTGTCAAGTATCAACAGAAAGCTCACATGGGCAAGCAAACTTTGCTGTGATAATACAGATACAGCATACAGCCCATCCCAAGGGCATATATTTTAAACTAAAATATAAGCAACAACAGAATATAATAATTAAAGGATCTAGTTTTGCAATGATGCATTGGTGTCAAAGCTTGATTTAGATGGGTTAAATTCAAATCACCCCTCTATATGTTTGGGTCTGTATATCATGAAGTAGAGTCGCTTTGCACTCATCCGACACTAATACAAACACATATAACTCACACAAAAATGGGTTTAATAGGTTTTTTTTTTCTTTCTAAATATGACTCTGGTATGCCCAAAAGCTGGTTTTTTGTTTGACACCATAATGGAAGAAAATTGTTTAGTAATCAAGATATTAGTTTTTACTCATCAAGTGTAAGTACACAAGCATGCCAACTTTATACCATAACCTTTTTTTCCCCCATTTTCAACAAAAGGCATTGGCAATCTTAAGACGATACCAGCATAAGCTAATCTCCTTCAGCATTTGTGTAGTGAACACAAAGTAAAGACGGCTGCAATCAAGTTTTGAAATACAATTTAAGAAATTAAAATTGGTTCCCTTCTGAAAACCCAATTTATTGGACTGCATTAATATTACATATGTGATAACAGAAACCCCTCTAGAGAGAAACTCTTATGCAACCGGGCCAATAACATAATGATACGTGAGATAACTTTTTCACATGCCATTATGTTATTAGCTGAAGACAGCAAAACATTACTATCCCCATTACAAGTAAGATAACACCAAGTTTTGTAATGTGATTGTGATAGAAGGAAGACAGGGAGGCACGTTATCCCTCCACGTGACAAGAGAAGAGGGCATGTGAGGTGAGGTTTCAATTTTGTAGGAGAGAAGTCTTTCCTGCTGAGAAATCTTGTGCTGTTCCATACATTTAAGGAAACTGCAGTCTACAAGACAATGTGGGGCAATAGCTGCATATTGAAAATAGACAGGAAGGAAGCACTAACTTGGACCAACAGCACAAATCATGTGCTCCCTTCCCTCTCTCATCAAGCTATGACTTGTCTAGATCTACTGATTTTAAAGGTTTGTTTTTCCTAAACCATCTTATGGTCAACAGGTTAAAACGGAAAAAATATATAAATTTACCAGCAGGTTAAAAGGGAACACTTGCATGGTAAAAACAGAATTTCATGTTACTTCTAAGTCCCATGGTGCATGCTGATGCTGGGTATTAGATGATGATCATATGAAGTCCTTAAAACTTGAAAGTAGAACAACGCAAGCAGGACTGCAAAATGTGAAAACTATGTAACCCAAATTCCATTTCCATTAGAATACAAATCATGTCATATATGTCTCCAGCACAGAACCCATCCACACATGTTACAAAACCTTTCATTTCAACCCTGGGTCCTAATAGACAATAAGCCATTAAACAAAAGTCTCCTTGTTGCAGCACCGTCCCTTCTGTTCTATGCAACGTTCATTGTAGCATCGGCATGTACTGTGTTTACATCGTCCAGAGTCTTGCCGTTAACTTGAGTTCGTTGCCTCTGCATAAATAACAGCAACAACTGTAAATTCTAGTCCAGATCACAAAATGCTCTGCTGATTTCTATTGAACTGATAAATTCAAATTGTAGAAGTGTAGATTCTCTATACCCTATCAGCAGGGTCTCCGGAGATTCCATTCAAGAGCTTGTGATTCTCTTCTTTGGTCTTACTATCTTTGTCCTTTGTACTTAGGGGTAACAAGAAAGATGCAGCTCCATTGGTCCGGTCAGGTAATTCTGCAATAACAACTATGTTAGTACCGCTGCTCATTGGTACCAAACCAAAAATATGAAGAAATTAAAAAAAAGAAAAAAACAAATGGAAACAACCTAACCTGCCAATTTCTTGTCAATAAAGAACACAACCAAATTAACAGTATACCTGCAGGAAATCATATTATTCAACCAAATAAATAACTTAGAAACTTTCATCGGCTTAAAAACATATGTAACATGAAAGCATGCAAAAATCTTCATACCATGCTACAACAACATCAACCGTGTAATGCTTGCGCGATGCCACAATCAAGAAACTCTGGATCACGACGAGTAACCAAGCTAACTGCTTTATAAATCTGCAGTGATTTACAACTCTAAATCATTCAAGACTATGTACATCTAGAAAAATGACATTGGTAGAGAGATTAAATACAAAATTAATTATGCAGAACCCAGAAGCCAATTTATCTAAGTGGTAAGCCAAACACAATGCACTTAAAATTCATGTCAGTCACAAGTCGTTAAACTCAGAAGCTAAGTTTTACCTTTGTGTACCGTATTTCTGATAAGTGCGCACAAAGACAAGACTAAATATCATGTGCGATGAGAAAATCAAATCACCACAACCATAAAGTACACCCCTCGGAACTGCATATTTTTAGCAAATCAAAATCAGCACAAAGCCGTAATACAAGAAGCAATATGCCAAATGATCTGAGTAAATCAAGATATCTTACAATTGATCAAGAGGACTTCGAATACGCTATCCGGAGGAGGCAGCCTGGCAAGTTTAGAACCCTGCACAATTAAAATAGAGCTTCTTAGCTTTCTACAACATACAGAGTTTTGCACAGCATCAATAAAGAAAATTTCAAAAGTAAATAAAAATTAAACTCCACCACATCATAGGGTACATAACAACATCAAGAAATTAAACAATCAGCCTACCTCACGACAATGGTAATTTGGACCAGGAAGCTGGGTGGAATAGAACGTGATAATCCGGAGAAATTGAGATGCCTGCAATAAACAGTAGAAACTGTCAGAAAAAAAAGTAGGGGTTTGTTTGTCACCATCGGTTCACAGAAAAAGTTAAATGGCGAAGTCTTGTTTTCTCTGTTGCATACGAAAGTTTCAATTCACGACTTATCTTTCCCAGGCAGCACGTCGAAAAGAAGAAACTCAAGACATGACTTAAAAGCGAAAAAAACCAAGAAAAGAAATCTAACAGAATTCCAAATATCAAATGAACCATTGGAACTAAAATAGCTCTCATGAGTTTTTCAAATCAGGTACAAGTAAAAGAAAAGTAAATAACAAAATGAATCAATATTTCCAAGTTTATCACAGAACCAACTTCTCAAATTCTGTTACTGGAGGTAACTTTCCATTTCATCCTTCTCATACATCACACCGGCATGAATCCAGGTTTCAAATCAGTTCAAGTAAAAAATCAAAAATCAAAAACCAAAAAAGAAATTATCAGTACTTACCACTAAGAATGCTAGAACCCTGCACCATATTAGAACTGTGTATATCTTTTTGCTCTTGAAAATGAAAGGATGAAAAGTCCACTGCAACAGAACATGCACCACATTGAGGGAAATATAAATAATGGAACTTATCAGAGAATAAACCAGAATACAAGTGGGCAAATAAGTTGAAACCATACACTAATCAATCAAAGAAAAAGACAGGCTAGAAAGTTCAAAAGGAATAACTATAAAATGAAAACCAACATGGACAGCATGATAAGTTCAAGTGATTTATTTTAAAAGAAAGTATTACATAAAACACCCTTAAACTTTTGAAACTTTAAAGGAAACAAAAAGCTATTAAATAAAGAAACTATAAAAAGCGGAAAAAAAACAACAAAAAAAAAAAAAACTGTTTCACAACATTTTCAGTTATTCATATGATCTGCAGCTGAAGTCAGTCAGTTAAACAAATTGACAAAATTAATCACGAATGTAAGTTGCGAAGCACATCAGTTTTAGCGTCATAGAAGAGATGCTGACAGAAGCCTATTCCAATAAGGAGGGCAAAAACTATGAACTGCTTTGATGAATCAATAGCAAATTCAAGACACACGAACATGTGGATTCAGTCACCAATGCCAATATATACACAACTGCAATCCCCACGAAATTAAATTGAACAGAACGAGGCACAGGTAACTAAGTTATAGAGATGAAAGAAATATAGAAAAGACAACACAGAAGAACCTTACCAACACAAAGGATAAAAAGATGAAGCTGAACAGGGTCTCACTGATATAAGCTCTGTCTTGCCCAAGTTCCTACAAAGACACCCAAACTCATTATAGCAAATACACAGGATTGAATAAAGGAAAGCACTTTCCATGATCAATTTCACACTACACAGATGAAACAAAAATTTATTGCTACGAACCGGAAGAAGAAAGAAGCCAGCATCCTGGAGTGTTGGCCCTGGCCGATGTATATAATGAACTCCTCGAGCAGCTAGACCATGTATGTACTGCAAATGAGATGAACTTGAAACATAAAGCTCACATAAATTAACAACATGGGGAAAAAATGAAACTTACAAAGAGCAAATCAAAACTACGTTGTTCAAAATATCTGCTTACAAAGAACTTTTTCTTAGTCTGATGGACTTATATTGATAAAAACCCATTAACATATTCATCAAATTGGTGAAGAAAGCCAGAATCGGTTTCAAAATCCAAAAACCTCACTAGCACCAACGATGTATCAATGCATCCCAAGTTGCACACTTGAAGTAGGAGATGAAATAAAATTGGCGATAGTAGCATTTGTTTAGTAGAAAACTGCTGTTTAACCGTCACACGCTTCTAAACTGATGGTAACTTCCTCTAATGCTTAAAAGCATACATCTTCTCTCAAAGTTCGCACATGTCGAACCATGATCTTAACCTTGTACCAGAACCAACTTTCAACTTTCTTTTTTCTTGCCTTCAAAATGAAAAGGCATGGAGTAAATTACTTTTTCAATCAGAAAAAGCTGGTTGACCCATTGTTCATCACCATAAGCAAAGTTCACTTGGAAGCTCCAAAATTTTGAAGACCAAAAGAGTAATTGAACGTGAAGAGCTTTGGAAATTAAGAGTGAGAAAAGAAGAAGAAGAAGAAGCACCTGACAAACAAGACCGGCAAGAAGATACTTCCAATTCGCGGCAAGGAGGTTGATCTCGGTGATTACCTCAGCGCAAATTCTCTTCCAGAGCTTCTCAAATCAGAAATACAAAACAAAAACGAAAAAGGAGCACATCAGTCATAACTCATAAGCAACAAAAAGGCAATTTTTTTGCGTTTCTGAATTTAAAAAGAGAAAAAGGGTATTAATGCAAAGTGAAAAAGAGCAAACCTTTGATGACTCGCGACCAATGTAAAGCGTCATCTTCTAGTTGTTGTTGTTGTTGTTGTTATTGGTGTAACCACAACTTCCATATTACTTCACAAGGTCAACAACATGATTGCTGGGCACCCTTCAAAATCGAATCAAATGTGAGGAAGAAGAAGGAGAGGAACAAACCACGGTCGTTTAGAGCGGTTCGTGAAGGGGATCAGAGCCGCGAATTGACACCACTGAGACCCCAGGAGATCTGATTGTTGAGGCGATTGAAGGGCTCTTCAGCGGCTCTGAGTTTGAGTGGAGGCGTGGAGGACACCACCAAAGCCAAAGGCTTTTTTACAAGAGGAGAGAGACCAATAACGCGTACAATTTGATAAATCGGGAAACGGAAGAAAAAGAAAAGCAAAAGGCTTTTTTTATTCTCTCTTCTCTTTCTCTCTCTGTTTGGCTTCTTCGTCTGTCTGTGTGTGTCTGGTAGTGCTGGGCCAGCCACGCGAGTTGAACACGGGGGCGACAGTTGAGACAGAGAAAGAGATACACGATTCAATTCAATTCAATTCAAATCCCAAACCAAAAACCACACTAAAATGTTTAAAACTCTCTCTCTCTCCCTCTATCTTTCTCTCTCTAGAAACTCTCACACAGAGATTGAGACAGAGAAAGGGAGAAAGAAAGAAAGAAAAAGTCCCCCCTTTTTATTTATTTTTCTACAAATCGCCGACCCCTCTCTCTCTCCTCCCTTTCTCTTTATTCCCTCTCTGCGAAACTGATGAGTGAACCTTGCTAACTATTCTCAACAGTAATTTTTTTTAAAATTTGTTTATTTTAAAAAATTAAAAACTAAATTTGAGAAAACGAGGTAAAAGCAGATATTCTCGTTCTCGAAATTATAACTGTATATTTTGTTTTAAAAATAGGAAAATAAAATAAAATAAAAGAGGGCGGCAATTTTGTATTACAGTTTTACTGTGGGGAAGAGTGTGCGGGCCGCGGAGGAAGGCGGTAAATCATCCGGCCCTAGTCTGCACTAATTTTTATATAATTATCGTAAATTCAGATTTAGGAAATAATTATTTTTGTTAATTATTTTAACTAATCGTTTTACGAGATCAAAGTTCCGGGTTCAATTACGATAATGCCCTCGTGCTCTGGTCCCCCGCTTTTGGGCTCCGTAAACGAGGATAACAGACTCCCTCGTCCGCTCCTTAAATTTCAAACTTCCATTTTTATTCATTTTATTATTCAAAATCAATAACAATTTTATGTACAGAATTCATACGCGTGTTATAATATAGATGAATTGATTATACTGAATTCCCGTGTTCGGGTGATGCCCGATTATTTTCCAAAACAAGTAGGGTAATCATGAGAGGAGCAAGAGCACGTGGGATGGTCCTGGCAAGGCCAAATAGGGGAGGAGGGGGTTGATTGGTGGTGGGTGTTAATTTTGAGGTGAGCATAGCATTGCTACATTGTATAGTCTATAGAGCATAGAGTTGTCTGTCTGACTCGGCATTTTTGTCACCCATTAACTTCTTCCAACGACTTCTTTTAACCTTTTTTTGTGCACCTATATAAAGAAAGGTAGATTCCCCACTGAGCTTTGTGATTTCGGGGATATTATAATAAGCTTTTTCACATTAATTTTGTTTCTTGCTTGTGGCAGGGGAAGAAGAAGAAAAGAAGCTGATGACATAAATTCGGAAAGTAAATAAATGGGACCATCTCGCTACTACGAAAAATTATTTCATCATACTATAATATGTCTAACTTCTTACATAAGTCATGTTTATTATTAGATTTTCTTTGTTGAATATTTATACTTTATGGTATAATATTAATGAATATTCACACATACATGAAATAGTTATACTACACCATAGTATAATGTACAACGAGTGAATATCAAAATAAAAGAAGTATCATGAGAACATATAAAGAATCGTCAAGACGATCCATTCATAACCCAAAAGTGAATATCATGACACAAGAATCTCATTTTTAAGAAAGATGTGCTGATAGATGAATACTATCACGGGGCACAAACAAAAAAAGAAGAAAAGACGTAACACTTAATTGAAGATATACAATTTTAGGTAGATTTTAACAGTGTGAGATATATCATTAATAATGTGGCCAATTAGCATGGTATAAATAATTTAATTCAAATCTTAAAGTTAAAACCTACCAAAAGGGCAATTCTAACAGAGCGAATCAATTAAAACTGATTTGGGTGGGTAGAATTGGTTTATTTGCAAATCTGAGTTCATCCACCGCAATAACTTTATGCAGCATAATCCCATCACTAACCTTTATGCGTTGTTAAATAATTTACTGCCAAACGACAAAAAAATTAAATTAGTATGGGTATGGCCCATTTGATAAAAATAAAAAACAAATAATATTATCACCAAAAAGATAGTTATTGGAGAAGGGTAGTTCCGTCAATGACTTGGGCAACGCGAGGAGGGGCACAACAAAATGGACTGGTGAATGGTGGTCAACGAGTGAAAGTTGGTTTGGGTTAAAGGAAGGTTAAGCAGCGAATGATGAGAGAGAGAGAGAGCAGGCAGTCAACCAGAAGACAATAAACGGCCAAGGCGGCTTCTTCCACGTGACGTGTCACATGACCTCCCACCATTTCATGCCAAAACCCAAAAGATTCCCCATATCTATACGCTTCTCTTCTTCTCCCCACTCCCTTCTCATTCTCCAATCCTAAGTCTCTAATTATTACGTGTTATACATGCCACTATGAGTGGTTCTACATAGCTAAGCTCTACCCACCAACCAAACCAAACCCTATTTTTTTGCCATTTTTCTACTTTAAAAGAATCCTTTCATATAGACTCTCTCATACCAATATATTAGAGTTCCATAGTCTTTTATTTTATGCGCGTTCATGAACAACTGTGAACAAATCTATATTAAGCACGATTTTTTTAGAACTGATCAAGAATAAAGATATTATAAGGAAATTGCAATCGAATCAACTACTTTATTCTTGTTCATTTTTTATTTATTGTTTTAAGAGTATTTAATTATGAATTCTAGTTCTTTATATATGTGTAAGTAAATGAACGGAAAATAAAGAATTAGAATCATTCAAATACCCATGTGTTAGTAACACATAGTGAAAGAATGAAATAGAATACTTGTTAGACAAGTTCATAAATCCTGGATGTTTGGGAGGCTTGTTAGACAAGTTCACTGATGTATGCTCAATGGACAATATGGCCTACTCCATTTGCTCTATGTCATCGACTTTTTTGTCTGCAGAGGGGCATCAAAATAACTATAAGCAGGCAGCCAGGCAGCCAGGCAGCCAGCAACCGAGGAAGAAAGGGTCAGCGTGACTCATATAAACCAGGACCACTGAACAAACCACTTCTTGTTGCTGCATGCAAAATCTGATGACTTGTCCATAATTTACTACCACAAAACAAAAATCTGTGTTACGTACTCTGCAAATCTAACATTGTGGGTTACGTTTACGTAAACCAGTCTGAACCTTTCTAAGACACAGCCCTTCCGAAGATCCCATTGGTCTGTCAACAAATGTGCATGGATTTTATCAGATCCCCTTCATAATTTTTTTCCTTGAAAACCCTTCAAGAGCTTTCCAATTTTGACCAAAGTCTTTAGGTGTACGGAGGAGAGTGGCTTTTCACAAAACTTGAATATTTCAATTGCCTTGGACCAAATTTCCAACTGTTGACCAACATGCTCTTTAGCCCCCACCATTCAATTATTTTTTGCTTTTGTTTGAGCAAGTCAAGTTAATTGCTTGGTCAAAATATACATAGAAAAAAGTTTGATTACAAAGCACTCTTTCAGGTCTTAAAATCCATGAAACATGCCATGTGAGAATATGGTTTAAGTCTCCCCGCCTTAGAAGTTTAAAATAACAAGAAATATCGGAGTTTTTTTTTGGGAGTTTATGAAGTATCAATTAGGGATTTGCAATTGAGACTTATGAATTATCAATTGGGGATTTGTAATTAGAGCTTATTAGTTTCAATTTATGAGTTATGAATTATCAAATAGGATTTGTAATTGATTTTGGTGTTCTTACTTATTCAATAGGTTATACTTTATTAAACATGCTCACTTTTTCCCTGTGAATATGTGTATATATTTTTTTGTTATCAATGAAATTCACTTGAGTTTTTTGTCTACTTGCAATCCTAAGTCCGTCCGTCCTTACACATGAGAATATGGTTTAAGTCCTAGAAGTTTAAAATAACAAGAAAAATTGGTTGTCAATGAAGTAAGTTTGAGCAATTGAAATTTCCTAGAGAATAACAAAAAACAAAGTGAAGAATAAAGTATTGGAGATATGCGATTTGATATTATCTTATGCTATTTTTTTGGGTGCAATTTGTCGTTGACAAGGGAAATGGTGGACATTCACATGTATTGTTGTTTGTTCATTAAGAAATCTTTTCAATCTTGGAATGTCTTGGAGCCACACCACTACACGATTAAGCCTTTACAACAAGTACGATATCTCCCCAGAAGTTTCTTGGAAAGAGTCTCTTCTTTGTTTGGAGAAGGAAAACGACATCTTTTCTGGAAGGTCCAAAGTTTGGCCCAGGACTAACCAAGTTGACCTAAACTTGCTAAAATATGGGCCGGCTCATTGAATCAGGCCCATTTTATTTTGTCTTCTCGAATGCCCTCCACTGCTCCTAATTTTTCAGTCCCTACAGGTTCTCTAACTATTAGCAGGAGACTGACAGCTCAAAGCCCTAACCCTAATCGTTATCCTTATCATTGACCTATTCGTTATATAATTTCTGGGTTCTATTGCAAACCTTCTTCTTCTTCTTCTTCATGGCGCTTCATGGATCTAGTTTCTGCTTAAATGTGAGTTATGATAAGCTTTAGAGTAAATGTATATTTTAAAGTTGTGATCTTTGTATGAAAAAAGCTTACTTTCTTTCTGAATTTCCATTTCACAGTGTTGGAAATCTCAAATTCGGATTGGGTTTTTGAAAGTTATGAAAGAAACGAATGGAAGATGCTTGAATTTGTTAATTATTTCCTGTATTGTTGTTTACATTCTTATATTTCTTATGTTTACATTCTTATATTTCAAGTTGAGGTGATATGGACTTATTTTGATCTTTATTTTCCCAGGGAAATGGTTCTTTTAGGGAATTTTACAGCTTGCCGAGTTCCTGCAATTGTAGTTTTGGGATGCTTCATCATCTCCCTTCACCTTCTTTAAAGCAATACAATTTAGTTGTAGCAAAGACGTTTGGAAGGGGGAATAAAAATCAGTTTTTGCCTGGGGATCGTCGTATCAAATTGCGGACTGAAAGACCCAGTAAGTTTATTTTCCTTGCCACTGTAATCTATATGCTTATCTTGAAAACCTCTGATAGGAATTTACCCATAAATTGTAAGGTTTCGACTGTTACATGTTCATCACAGCCTTGAGTCCATTGACCTTTTTGATGCAATGTACCATCCATTTGAACACTTCTAATCTGTACTTTTTCAGTGCAGTATCCTCTATTCAGGCCTCTGGTTTGCGGTTATTAAGACCATGTAATGTGAAAGGCGATGACTCAAAGGATAGCGCAAGTGGCGAAAGCATCATATTGGATGTGCAAACCTTGGAGCGTGATCTAGACATTGCCATTGCTGAGGAGAACTATCCTAAAGCAGCACAAATTAGGGATAGCCTCAAACTTCTGCGCCAAGATAGTACAACTTCTGTTTTAGCAGCAAATGCTCAATTTTACGAGTCATTCAGGATTGGGGATTTAGCTGCCATGCAAGCCCTTTGGGCCAACCGGAAAGAAGTCTGTTGTGTGCACCCCGGTGCACGTGGGATATATGGTTATGAAGATGTTATGACTAGCTGGGACTACGTATGGGCGAACTATGAATTTCCGCTAGAGATTGAGCTGAAAGATGTCAATGTTCGTGTTATAGGGGATGTAGGGTATGTCTCTTGTGTGGAATTGGTTAAGACAAAGGGTAGCAGTTGGGGGGGACAGTTTGCAACAAATGTGTTTGAGAGAATTGATGGTAAATGGTTTATCTGCATTCACCATGCTTCAGTTCTTGACTTGTGAAACCTACAAACTATATTGTATTTTGGAATTTGGCTAATTGCCCCTTTGTCGTCTCTCGTCTGTGTGCCTGATTTATCTTATAATTTTTCACCTGTTCAACTTCAAAATGTCGTAATCTTAAACTAAAAACCAGAGGCATCGTGGAGAATTATACTATGATATTTGAAATAACCCTGCATAAGAGTATTTACACCATCCTTCTTCGAAGATGTTGAGTTTTAGTATTTGAGTTCTGTATTGAACGACATTTTTTCCTTTACACATGGTAATGTTGGTACTGCAGTACAACCAGCACAAAATTGCAAGGGTCGTACTCATGCAAGTTTTCAAACAACAATGATTTCTTGACTATGAGATAGTATGCCTTTAGGAGTTCTATAAACTGCCTCTTGAATCTTGAAGACCATCGATTGTTGGACTCGAACAGCGAAAGGCTTTGCTTGCACGAAGCTAGACTCTTCCAATGGGGGACAGTGGTGGATTTGGGGCATATTTTGCTGGCCCTGTCACCTGGATTCCATTGTTTCCAATCAAACTCGGTTCCTGGAAAACTTTTGCTTCTGACCTGTTACTCACTTCCGACAGATCTGATGGTTTCCTACTGCTGATCACAACAACACAGACGAAGAATGCTTGAAACAAAGAAAGTGATGTATTGTATTCAATCGAGTAGCTTCCATCCTTCCCTGGTGCCAAACTGAAAACTGGCCTGTTCTGCTGTGCTTCCTCCTGAAATGAAATACAAAACCAACATGTAAATTGGCTAAAACAACATCACCAATTGTCCGGTGTAGAGATGGCGCTAAGCTGAAACCAAAAATGAATACCTCATCGAAAAGTTCAAAATGATCGGAAAAAGGATAATATGTGGATGCTTTCAGATTCTGACAGGATTTGTTCTGGTTGGAGAGAACACGCAGTTTACAACCAATATCCCAACCTCCACAATCACATAACCCACCAGATTTCCAACGGTTAATTAGTGGCGAAGGTTCTCCTTTGTTTGGTGAGCTATGGACACCACCAGGAAGAATGACTATAGTACTGTCTTCCCAGCTGTAAGAGCATGTATCCTCCGGGGAACACTTATGACTATAGTACTGTCTTCCCAGCTGTAAGAGCATGTATCCTCCGGTGAACACTTGGCGTAGCCCTTCTCCAGAACTTCCTCGTCAGTCTGCTGTTCAGCATGGCTCAAGTCTTTGCTAGGTATCTTGACAACAGCAGCAGCAAGCTCCCTATTTGGTACGAACTTTGGTGATTCTTGATCTGCTTGTCTTAGCTCAACACCATACAACAGAGACTCTCTTACCATATAATTACTGAAGTTCTGTCCGTCAACATTGGAGAAGTCAGAGCTAGAAACCTTCATTTGACCAACAACGTTGTAAACATAGCGACAACTTTTGCCTTTACTTCCTTGACTCATCCAGCCACCAATTTTTCTCTTGATTTCATTAACAGAGTAAAATGTAAAATATTGGACTACATCATCCTTTCCAGATGATAAGTTTTTCATGGTTGCTGCAAGACAGCTGCTGTTGTTGTCAACCCAAAATTTAAACAAAGGAAGTCCGTTCTTGATTGTTAATTGCAAAAAAGCTTGAACCCATGATGCCTCACTCTTCGCAGCTTGTGACGAGTCACTGACAGTGATTGGCCTGGGTACAAAGGAATTAAAATTTGCTTTCAAGGGTTTAACAGCTTCAATAGAATGGTGTGGATTTGCCTCCTTGTGCTTCAGTATTGGGTCTAGTAACCTTCTTAATGGGCTTGACCTAGCTCTATTATGACTACTTGCCTTCTCTCTGTTTGGATTATCTGGGCAATCAGAAGTTCCAGATCTCACAGGACCTGATTTGGCTGTCACATATGTGGAACTTAACTGTGGAATATCTGAACTTTCCTTAAAACTGAAACTTCTACCAAGCCGACCTAAGCTGAAGCTAAATCGGCGATTGGGAGTTGGGTTTCTGCCATTTCTAGTTGCCAGCTCTTCTTGATCTGATGTTTTTGAAATATCAAAACTTGAACGGGTAAGCTTTTTCTCTGAATTTTTCTTCTCTATAAATTTATCTTCATATAGCAGGTCTTGTGTTCCTTTGGAGCATGAGCGCATGTGAGATGGAACAAAGGAAGGCCCCATACTGTTACTGTTGATTGAGCCACTTGACATCATGTTTGACACTTTATTAAACTCAACTCCAGAAGGCAGTGGGCATGAGTGTGGAACTTCAGAACAGAGTTCTGCAAAGTCCATCTCCTTGGTAGAAAAGCCACCTGAGAAGCTAATCCCTTTAGCTTCTGTCACACGCTCATCCCGTGATGCTCTTGGTTTTGAAAGCTCCAGTACCTTTGTAAAGCCATTTTGGGGCAATTCCTTTGGTGGAGAGAGAACAGTGGCATTCTCCTCAACAGGGAAACGTTGATGACATAGATTGATATCTGGTTTCTGAAACTCCTCCACCCTTTTCTCAGTTTTACCATCGGAAGCAATTGCCTTTCCTTTTGAACTGAGTGAGACATCATATCTTCCCAAGTTAGACGACATAGCTCCCTCTTTATATTCCGAAATGATTCTTCGATCAATATTCTTCCTCTTGATATCTGATTCTTGCAACTCCTTGGTATTCTTAGCTTGACCATCCCAAGTGCTAACCTCTTCCTTTTGACCGAGTGAGACTCCATAACTTTTCAAGTTTGCTGCCGCATTACCCATTTCTGAAGTGATCTTCTGACCTGAATCTTTTCCCTTTCCCTTATCAACCATTATATCTGAGTGGTTTCTTCCACGAGACCCATAGGGGAAGGGTATCTTTTTGTGCCCATGAATGGCATTCTTCGAAGCAGTTTTAGAGTCTTGAAAGCGCACATCTTTCTGGATAGATGGTTTGGCACCCTGAGAAAGGCCTTCCTTTTGAGATGACTTGAGATTGGAACAGCGCGAGGAGTGTTGTGTCCCAGTGCGAACCAGATCAGATGATGTAGATGATCCAACAGTCTTTTCCAAGGATGAAATTCGGCTACTGCTCAATAAACCATTACTACCTTTTTCTGGGGGATGTTTCTGCTTGTGTTTCCATTTTTCTAGCTGAGCCCAATCCAGAACCCCAACATTCAATGCCTTTTCTTTGACGTCCACTCCTCTCTCAGGGCGCTGAAGATAACCAGGCAAGTTTGACATGTGCTTGACAAGCTCATCAACTTTAGCTGCATTCGCCTTCATACTCTGCTTATGCCGATTTCGCAAAGACTTTTCTTGGACCAAGGCACTATCATCTGCATCTTGTCTTGCTTTCTGACGCAGATCATGCTCTGGCAAACCAACACCCGTTCTCAGTTTCACCTTCTCTAGATGCTTTGTTCTTCGACTCATTTGGGGCTGTTGAACCTTGTCCTCTATGGTAGATTTGTTCTGCTCTTTGGAACTATTTTTGAGCTCTACTCTGGATCCCATATCCTCAGCAGGTTCTACAAAGCGACTACTTGGACATACATCAGATTGCTTTGTAGCTCTGGAGCTTCATTTTCACATATTAGCTGCCAGCGGTGTGGAAATCTGTTCTCACTTCCCACTCACTCTTATCCAACCTTAAATTCTGAAAAGAAAAGAAAAACGATAATCAAAATAATCACATAAGTTGCAAATCAGGGGGCTGTAAAACACAGGATTTGATCAAACAATCCAATGCAGATGGTAAACAGAGAAGAATGATATCGCATTCCAATTTTAAGGTAACCAAATACAGAGAGTTTTTTTGCACTTTTCAATAATAATGGGACAACTTGTAAAGTCCTGATGTCACCAAACTCATATGGAAGAAAAAGAAAATAATAGATCTATGTAGAAGGAAATAAAATTATGACATAGCTTAAACAATCCTGTCTTGCAACCACAGAAATCATCACATTGAAAGCAAGAACTCATAGATCCAACAAAACCCTAAGAAAGCAGCAATCACACAACAAAAAGCTAACACCTTCAAGCTTTTCTTTTCTGTTTGGCTGAATAGAAAACGAAGAAATGTAAAATGCACAAGAATCAAGATAAAGCCTTTTACGTTCGTAAGTTTCCAATCATGAGCCCCTCACACACAGCAATGACATTTGAAGAAAAACAACTCCTTGTCTTTTATTCAGCATCTACTTTCTCGGCAACCAAACGGAACACAAATAAGCAAAAAATGCAAATGCAAATGCGCTAGCTAGCCAAACAAGTTCTCACACGAGCTTCTTTAAAAATGGAAGAAACGCATTTACCGAAACGCACCGATCCCGAAATAGATCCGAAACGTAAGCAAAACAAAAAACAAATACCGCGCGAAGCAACGTAGATTATAAGCAAAGAAAAGAATTACCGCCACAGAGGCCAAGAACGATGCCGCTTCGGGTTCTGGTTTAATCTGCTGTTCTTGAAATTCGTGAGTGCGTTTTGGTTTTCACCGGAGAAGAAGACGATGATTCAGAGGAGTACAGACAATCTGCAATGCTCACACACACACACACTGTCACTCTGAGCTTTGCTGACTCTGAGCGAGAGAGAGAAAGAGAGAAAGAGAGAAAGAGACAAGAGGCAGAGGCAGAGTGTTTGTGTGTGGTGCGGTGCAGAGATCGTTTTGGTTTATGATCGGACGGCTGATATGCATTGAGGCGTGTATAGGTATGAGGCTACATGATGAGGGCGGTCACATCATTGTAGGGGGAGGTGGCTATTGGGGGCCCCAGCCAGGAGACTTCTTTCTTTGTCACGGATCCCCACGAGATGTGGGGCCCGAAAAGCTCTGTGTGTCTTACGTCAGCGGCCGCTCTGATTGGAGCTGGGCTATGGCTTTAGGCGCCTGACCTATGATTAAACCAATACAAGGCTTTTTCTTCCTTTCTTTTGGTTTTATTCGGACTTAGGAGCTCCTTAACTTTGACTTAATCTTTGTCTTTTCTTTATAAATTTTACCAAAAATTAATTAAATTAAATCATCCCAAAAAAATCATCGAGCATTATCCGAAAGAGATAAAAATAAGAAATAAAATGTAAGCTTATAGTGCTAATCTGGAGTCTTTGATCAATGATTAGATTCTTAAAGCTTTGCATCTACAAAATTAAATCCAAATATTCGCAATGTCTCTGACTATCTGCTGTTAATATCAAGAAAGAGGCATGTCCTGTGTCCTGTGTGCTGTGCGCTAGCTAGAGAACAAAGATGGCTAAACTTACCTAACCATATCTGAAATTTTATCACAGCCAATAGGCATAGGACATGGAGGAGAGCATGGCCTACTTCCAGAATAATGGGTGTGTAAGTAAAGCAAGCCAGCTCAAATAAAATGTGGGGAAAATACTAGGGACTCTTGTTTCATTTTACGGGCATCTGTCATTGTTTTATTTCTTTCTCTGTTGGCTTTCCGTTTTTTTGTTACTTGTCCTTGTCATATTCCAATCCTTTTTTATTAGTACATTGTCGGTATTGTTATCTTCATTAAGGTTTTTTTGTTTTTTTTGTTTTTATATATAATTATTTTATATACAAGTAATATTAGAACAAGAAAGAGCCGAACACCAGAACTTATTGTAAGGATAATTGTTCTTAACAATTTGAATCACGAACCCTTTATTTATTAAAGCTAGCTTTAACCTAAGGTATTGTGTATGTGTCTATGTGAGGCAATGTATGTATGCATTTTTCATTTTGTATTGATTTCCCTTTTGTGCATAGTAAAATAACATCTCTCTGGTTAAAGGGAAAAGACTAAAGAGCATAACTTAAAGTGAAAAGCTGAAACAAAAATTAAGGACCGAAGAAAAGCTTCTTCTAACTCCAAGCTACTCTTGGATTTTTGGCTTTTATCTTTGTAGATTTGGCCACATTAGGCATAACAAGAAAAAAGCTTCCGAGGACTTATTTGGTAATAGAATCCTATATAACTATTCTGTGTCAAGGACATGCTACATATATGCTAGTCTATCATATTGCAAATATCAATTTACGATGAAATGCTCTTATAAGGAAGATAAGAAAAACTTGTATATCACATGAATAACACTGTTTTGCTATTTTCAACTAATCAAGTTTCGTTCTACGTGATAATTTTTCCACATAACATTATATAATTTATTGAAAATAACAAAATAATGCTATCCCCGTGATATTCAAGTTCTATAACTATTTCGATGTTAGGAAGTCCCCATCAATTTACTAGTCTATAACTATTTTTCTATGTTAGGAAGTCTGGATCACCTGCAGCTGGGTGGGCCCATATTGCCAATGGGCACTAGAATCTCGTTAGCTCTAAGACCAAATCCTTGGTAAAGAAAAAGGAGGTCCTGGCCCATGAAGCTTTGGGTGGATTGGGCTCTACCTTGAGTCCCGATGTTTTGCTCGCCCCAACTGGCGGACCAGCCGGTGAATAGTAGATGGGTTGGGAGGTTTGGAAGATTGGGGTTGATATGATGGGACCAATGTGATGGATCGAACGGTGGAGAAGAAGATGATAAGGGCATTGGTGGAAGATCGGAGGGAGGAGATTTTGGGTTCGGTGTCAGTAAAGGCGGGTCTTCGTGGCAAACCCTGGAGACATTTATAAGAGATATTTGAGCAATTAATTTAGGGTGCACTCTAAATTAAATGAGTACACTTTCTATTTATTAAATAACTAATTTACTTTAATATAAAATGACAGAAAAAAATTGTGAAACAAATGTAATTTTAATAAGTACACCCTAGTCATCATATTCAATCCTAATAATAAGTACATCATTCGCAAGATATAGTGAATTGTCTTTGAAACTCGAGCTTATCTGTGTACGGTATGAACTTTTTAACTATTTTGGTATGCTTTATGTTCCCAGAGAAGAAGAGTTTCTAGAAATTTGATAAGTTGTAGGCTCTTCTGGAGGGAAAAGAAACGACGATGAGAATTGGCATCAGGTTTCTATAATGCTGGGTTAGCCTAAAGGATAGATTTTGAAAGACTGAACTGACTGTGTGTATCTTGTATGAGATGCGTGATTGTCTTTGTTGGCTGGATGGGAATAATTGAGATAGCTTCTCTGAGTTGTGTTTTGTGATAATATTTTCTACTTTGATATGAGATGAGGCTTGGAAAAGAGACACTAGAAAGGAATTTGGGAGTTAAAAGGAAAATTTTGAGTCCAAAATGGTCATTGGTTGAGAAAGCTTTATTCTATTCTCTCAAATCTCAGTAGAAAATGTTTCCTTTGCTATACTAATATTTATTTTTGTTTCTGGGCTCAAAAAGGATTGATGCTGTTTGAAGTTTTGTTGATGTTCTTTGTCTTTCTTGATTCTATTTATATTACTGTATTATCATTGTATTCGGCAGCCAACTTTTGAATGAGTTTGGTGGTCTGATAGTGTTTGGCAGCTAGTTCTCGAATGGGTTTGTTGTTGTGTGATAGAATGTATGGTGTATCATGGGTATTTTTAGTAATTAAATTGGGTATGCTTAGTTAATTTTACATTTTAATTTAAATATAAGAATGTACTTAAGATGTATTCAGTTAATTTTAAAGTTCGTTTATCAACACCCTTAATTTATCATGCATATATTATATCTTCATGCATACATGCATGCCCTAGTCTCTAATCAGCTCTAATAAGTGTTTGTACCAAAGTAATGGTAGGCAGAGCAATATGACCAACAAAAAAGAGGGTATGCAAAGTAATGGCAGGTATAAATTTTTTTTTTAAAAACGATTATTTCGTTTTGTAACCATGACAATATTTGAGCTGTTCATAAAAAAAAATTATAAAAATTCCGACAATCCTCCATGATCAATTACATCCCTCTTCTGTCTCTTATAAATAAAAAATTATCGCTTCGATCAATGCGGCTAAACTTGAGGGGTCAAAATAGCCACCATATATCAAAAGTAGCATGCAAACACACTACACAACTTGATCCCCAAGTGTTGGATGTTGATGTCAGTTAATTGTCAAGCATTCGAGTCTTTTTTATTCCATGTTTCCTCCTCTTGTGGAGGATTAAAAAAAAAGAATTTAAAAGATTATATTCAAATTTCCCAGTTGCCAAACATAGCTGGATCTCCATGGAAAATTAATGCTGCACATGAAAGATATTAGTCATTTCGTTCGAATAGTTTGAATGCATGGTATATTAGTCATTTCGTTTGAGAATACCAGCTTATATATATTGATCGAAACAACAACAATAATGGCATGAGGCTGGGATCAAATAGTTGGTTCGGATTTCCAACCTCACAATCAATATGCTTGTAACGTATATAAATTCCGTAGTTCATGCTTGATATCGAAGATTAAATTGAATTGAATAACTCACTAGATTCAAAGATTTGTTCAAATAAGAAATGAATGCTACTTTCAAATTTTCCTTCATGAGTTGTGTAATTGATCTTAATTGTATGAATAATGTATAGAAAGAATCGGTTTCGATAGTTCCATAGTTCTATAGATGGAGATGGATGCGTGGAAGATTTCCACACCAACTTGTATGTGTTGCACTAAGACTTTTGGCAAACGACAAAAACAATTACATTATTGAGACTTGTTTCTGAGAGTGGCTATTTGAGAACTTAAACGAAGAATATCTTAATTCCTTTGTTATTTGACTCATTATATCTGTTCGCGTGTTTATACTATATATATTTATAGGTAATGCTGGTTCGAGGTTTTCGATACGATATATTCTGAAAGAATTTTTTCTGTTTAGAAAAATATTATATGTCGATTGAGAGTGACTGGATCTTACCTGCATATCGGTTGACTTCGAAACAACGTGGAACTCAATTTTGTGTCATTTCTTCATATTGACTATTACTTCCCATTTTGTGTAACCTTGCTGTATAAATGCCAGCATCTCATCATTCATCATTGTTCTTAGTTTTCTCTCCTCTTTTTTTTTTTTTGGGGTCAACTTGAATTTCATTGGATGAGAAAAATAGCTGAGATACAGTATCTTTTTTCTTGTTTTGTTTTTGGGCCTGTGTGCCATGAGTTATCGTATCTAATTTATTATTATGTGTCACGTTAACTATTATATATATCATATGTGAGGTGGCCACCATCCTTGAACCTATTTTTTTTAATTTTTTTTAAAAGTTGTTTTTATTTCAAGGTATAGTATTAGTATAAGTGTACGTATGCACGACATCTTAGTTTATGTTTACATTTTCCACGCCGTGCAATTTTATATGCCATCTCCAGATTCTATATATACCACCCCTTCTGTACTGAGTTGATATAACTTACAATTAAGAAAGCCCTAAGAGCAAGAAAACCTAGCTAAAATATTAACCCAATGGCAATGAAGCAACCTCACGTAGTCATCTTTCCCTTCCCACTCCAAGGTCACATGAAGCCCTTGCTATGCTTAGCCGAGCTTCTCTGCCATGCAGGCCTTCATGTCACCTATGTCAACACTCACCACAACCACGAGCGCTTGGCCAACCGCCAAGCACTCTCGACTCATTTCCCCACCCTCCATTTCGAGTCCATCTCCGATGGCCTCCCCGAGGACGACCCCCGTACCCTGAGTAGCCAGTTGTTGATTGCGTTGAAGACGTCCATTAGGCCTCATTTCCGGGAGCTGCTCAAAACCATTTCGCTTAAGGCTGAATTGAATGATGCTCTGGTGCCGCCTCCGAGCTGTATCATGACAGATGGGCTCGTGACTTTTGCGTTTGACGTGGCGGAGGAGCTGGGGCTTCCCATTCTAAGTTATAACGTTCCTTGTCCTCGTTACCTGTGGACTTGTCTTTGTCTCCCCAAGCTCATTGAGAATGGCCAGCTTCCTTTTCAAGGTAAGAGTCTCTACTTGCTTCAACTCTTATTTTATTCGTCTCTATATATATGAACGACCTCCATCACTTCAATTTTTCGTTTATTTTGGAAGCTTCGAATCTTTAATGTGGCAAGTGGTCTTGACTTCCTCCCACGCTCATAAGTCATGTAACACTTATTTTATTCAACGCCATCGAATTAAACATTTATTTTATACAATTTTTGTTTGTTTTTGGTCTTATGAAACAAACTTACATGGATTTTTGAGAATAGAAAACATAAATAAAACTTGAAATATAAACACTAATAAATTGAAACGTAACACGTTGGGGTGGAATGATACATGTAATATTTTGGAAGCTTCTAACAAGATCCTCCCGCGCATGTAACACTCATACAATATTTTGGAAGTCGTCAGCACAAAGCTGTCATAATTAATTAACTTGCTTTTGAAAAAAAGAAATTTAATAATGTGATTTGTGAGTTCTAAACAGATGATGACATGAATGTGGAAATTACGGGAGTGCCTGGAATGGAAGGTCTTTTGCGTCGCCAAGACTTGCCAGGTTTTTGCCGAGTCAAACAAGCTGACCACCCATCTCTTCAATTCGCTATCAACGAGACCCAAACCCTAAAACGAGCCTCGGCTCTCATTCTTGACACAGTTTATGAGCTAGATGCTCCTTGCATTTCCCACATGGCCCTCACGTTTCCCAAGATTTACACCCTTGGACCACTCCACGCTCTCCTCAACTCCCAAATAGGTGACATGTCTCGAGGTCTAGCATCCCACGGCTCTCTTTGGAAAAGCGACTTAAATTGCATGACATGGCTCGACTCTCATCCATCCAAATCGGTTATCTACGTCAGCTTTGGGACATTGGTCCACTTGACACGTGCCCAGGTGATAGAGTTTTGGTACGGCCTGGTCAACAGTGGACACCCGTTCTTGTGGGTCATGAGGTCCGACATCACATCTGGAGACCACCAAATTCCCGCAGAGCTGGAAAAGAGTACGAAAGAAAGAGGGTACATAGTGGATTGGGTTTCGCAGGAGGAGGTGCTGGCGCACAAATCGGTAGGTGGGTTTTTGACCCACAGTGGGTGGAACTCGACGCTTGAAAGCATTGTGGCCGGGCTGCCCATGATCTGTTGGCCGAATTTGGGGGACCATTATATTATTAGCAGAACTGTTTGCCGGCAGTGGAAGATTGGTCTCCAATTGAATGAAAATTGTGACCGGTCCAACATTGAGAGCATGGTACAAACTTTGATGGGACCCAAAAGGGAGGAGATCCAGAGCTCCATGGATGCCATTTCGAAATTGGCTCGTGACAGTGTTGCCGAAGGTGGATCTTCTCACAACAACTTGGAGCAGCTGATCGAATACATTCGAAATTTGAAACACCAGAAATAGCTAGCTAGCAAGCTGGTGATATTAATTATATTTCACTTTTCATTGGAATAATTTGTTGTGTTATTTGGTGATGAGGTTTGGAAGATTGGGTTTGATATGAAGGATAAGTCTGAAGTAAGGGCTTCGAGGGAAGATCATGCAAGTGAGCACATTCCCAAGTCGGTCGAGAGGTTCGCAAAATTGGCTCAGAATGCTGTTTGTGAAGCTGGCTCGTATTTCGTACAACAACGTGGAGAAACTTATTGAAAACCTAATAAAAGAAATTGTGTATCAAGTAGATTTGCTTAAGTTTATATGTCTTGTTCGTGTGTGCTATTATATATGTATCATTGCTTCTTGAATAAACAATCCAAAATTTCCATCCACAAGTGAAGTGATACATGCATGCAAGGGGTCAATCGAGCCCTTTCCCACCAAATGTTCTTGTTTATAACTTCAATTGTAGGTGTTGGTGTTCTATTGTTTTGTGGGATTAAAACAAATTCCGTCATGATTAAATGTTATCTTATTATCATATTCGCCTCATGCATACATGCATGACCTAATAGTAAGCAGAGAAATTTGATCCAAAAAAAAAAACGGGTATGCAAATTTAGTAATGGTAAGTTTAAAAAAAAAAAAACCGATTATTTGTTTTGTAACCACAACAAGAGTTCTTCATAAAAAAAATTTATGAAAATTCCGACAATCCTCCACAATCACGATAGCAAAAGTCTCATGTAAACACACTATACAACATCCCCAAGTGTTTGATTTTATTTGTTATATGTCAATTGTCAAGCATATATACCAAAAGTCATTGAATTAGAGTTTTTTTTATTCCATGTTTCCTTCTCTTGTGGAGGAATTAAAAGATTCTCTTCACATTTCCAGCCTCACAATCAATAAGCTTGTAACGTATACATAAAAGAGCATATTCTATAAAGTTCATATTTGGTGTCTAAAATTGAATTGAATTGAATAACTCGCTAGATTGAATATTCGTTTTCAGCCAAATGAATGTTTAGTTTCGAATTTTCCTTCATGACTTATGTAATTGGTCTTAATGTGTGAATAATATATAGAAAATGGGCTTGGATAGTTTGTTGGAAGTTTGAAAGCAAATGGAGTCCCACATTGGAGAAACCAAAAGGTTTCTCATGCTTTATAAGCATGAAACCTTTACATCAATTAAATAAGAAATTGGTGGTATGATGGGCTTGGATGGTTGGCTTGCATGATGGGCTTGATTAATAATAATATTTAATAAAAGTCTCTATCTACAATAAAAGTCAGTTTCCTGTATTTACTTTGTTTATACGCTTATATTGATTTTTTGTAGTAGGTTGTTGTCTACAATTTTAAATAATATATTATCGTTGTCATCTTATAAGTCATTTATTGATTTTTTCCTATCAATCTAAAGACAGAATACTCTTACAATGGGAGAATCTGCAAGTGGCTTGAAGGTGACTGATATAGTCAATGTCAATGGCGTCAAAATTGCATTACACTTACAAATTGTATTGGAGAGAAACACACCACCGTTCGCCAGAATCCAAGGATCCGGTGCTGGACCCTTGGATTATAGATAGTTGAATCGGCAACAGAGAATCCGATACCAGCAGATAAATTAAATGCTATTGATGCTTGGAAACACTCTGAGTTTCTCTGCAGGAATTATATTCTCAGTTCATTGGATGATACCTTGTATGATGTTTATTCCTCATACAAGACTGCCAAGGATCTGTGGGAGTCTCTCGAAAAGAAGTACAGAACAGAAGTTGCTGGTACAAAGAAATTTGTCATTGGGAAATTTCTGAATTACAAAATGGTGGACTCCAAGTCAGTAGTTAATCAAGTGGAAGAACTTCAGATCATTATGCATGAATTGCATAATGAAAACATGATCATGAACGAAAACTTTCAAGTGGGTTCTATCATAGAGAAGTTGCCTCCTTCATGGAATGATTTCAAGATCTATCTGAAACACAAGAAATCTGACATGACCATGGATGATTTGGTTTTGAAACTAAGGGTTGAACAGGATCACAGAATCATTGCGAAAGTGGATGGTGTTTCCTCTGAAGCCAAAGCCAACATTGTTGAAGGCAAAGCCTCTGCTGGAAAGCCAAAATACAATTCCCAGAAATTTAAAGGCAAATCCTTTTCCAACAAAATGGCACCAAACAGCAAGAACTTCAAGAAAATAAAGGGGAGTTGCTGGGTGTGTGGAAAGCCTGGACACAAGGCACAAGACTGTCGCCACAAGAAAGATGGAGGTCATGCCAATTCTGCCAATAATCAAGCAAATGTAACAGAAGATATATTGGCTGCTGTAGTGTCTGAAACCAATATGGTTTTAGATACAAAGGATTGGTGGATCGATATTGGTGCAACTAAGCATATATGTGGCGACAAGAGCATGTTCTCTACATACCAAGAGATTTCTGGTGGAGAACAACTCTACATGGGAAATTCCTCAACTGCTGCCATTGCTGGAAAAGGAAAGCTGCTGCTGAAATTTACCTCTGGGAAGGAACTGACCCTTCTAGATGTGCTTCATGTCCCTGATATTAGAAAGAACTTGGTGTCTGGTCCATTGCTTAGCAATAAGGGCTTTAAACTTGTGTTCGAATCAGACAAGTTTGTTCTTACTAAAGGGGGAATGTTTGTGGGAAAGGGTTATTTGGCTGAGGGTTTGTTCAAACTCAATGTATTGGCTACTAATGCTATTAATAATATAAATAAGGCTTCTGTTTATATTGTTGAGTCTTGTGATATTTGGCATGCTAGATTAGGACATGTTAATTTTCGTTGTTTAGATAGAATGATTAATTTAGGGTTGCTGCCAAACTTTAAAATTGATCACAATAATAAATGTGAAATATGCACAGAATCAAAGTTTGCAAGGCAAAGTTTCAAATATGTTTTTGGAAGGTCTAATGAGTTGCTGGGTCTGATACATTCAGACCTTTGTGATTTTAAATCAACACCAACTCGTGGAGGAAAGAATTATTACATTACTTTCATTGATGATTGCAGTAAATTTTGCTATGTCTATTTGATAAATAGCAAAGATGAGGCTTTGAATATGTTCAAGACATATAAAGCTGAAGTTGAAAATCAATTAGAGAGGAAAATCAAAACTCTAAGATCTGATAGAGGAGGAGAGTATGAGTCTACAGCCTTCTCTGAATTTTGTGCTCAACATGGAATAGTTCATCAAACTACAGCTCCATATACACCTCAACAGAACGGTGTTGCTGAAAGGAAAAATCGAACTTTCAAGAACATGATTAACTCCACGTTGAATAGTTCAGGGCTTCCACACAATCTGTGGGGTGAAGCCTTACTTACTGCAAATACAATCTTGAACAAAATTCCACATAAGAAGACCAATAAGTCTCCTTATGAAGTGTGGAAAGGTAGAATTCCGACATATAAAACCCTCAAAGTGTGGGGTTGCCTTGCAAAAGTTCAAGTACCTTTGCCAAAACGAGTTAAACTTGGACCAAAAACAGTAGATTGTGTGTTTATTGGCTTTGCAAATAATAGTGCAGCCTATAGATTCTTAGTAGTTAAATCTGAAATTTCTGATATTCATGTTAATACTATTATAGAATCTGTAGATGCAGAATTTTTTGAGCATATTTATCCCTACAAAGAAAATAGGTCCTTTCCAAATAGAAAGAGGTCACTTGAACAAAATCAAAGTGACATTCCTTCTTCATCAAGGGTTCATGAAAATGAAATGGAACCAAGAAGAGGAAGTAGAACGAAAATCCCAAGAAATTTTGGACCTGATTTTCTAACCTTCTTGTCAGAAGTTGAACCACAAACATACAAGGAAGCAATGGCTTCAAGTGAGGCTTCTCTTTGGAAGGAAGCAATTAAAAGTGAAATGGATTCCATCTTACAAAATAATACATGGCAATTGGTTGATTTACCACCTAGTAATAAACCAATAGGTCATAAATGGATATTCAAAAAGAAATTGAAGGCTGATGGCTCTATTGACAAATATAAGGCACGTCTAGTAGCAAAAGGCTATAGACAAAAGGAAGGGCTGGATTATTTTGATACATATTCACCTGTATCAAGAATCTCATCTATAAGAATGTTAATTTCTATAGCAGCCATATATAAATTGGAGATACATCAAATGGATGTTAAAATGGCATTCTTGAATGGAGAATTAGACGAAGAAGTCTATATGGAACAGCCAGAAGGATTTGTGGTTAAAGGACAAGAAAAGAAAGTGTGCAAATTAATTAGGTCATTGTATGGACTTAAACAAGCACAAAAAATATGGCATGAAAAATTTGATCATGTTATGTTGTCAAATGGTTTTAAGATCAATGAGAGTGACAAATGTGTATATGTGAAGAGTTTCAAGAACTCATGTGTCATAGTATGTTTATACGTTGATGACATGCTCATAATGGGTACCAACAAAGACATTATAAATTCTACAAAGAAAATGTTGTGTTCCAGTTTTGATATGAAGGACTTGGGACTTGCAGATGTCATACTTGGAATTAGAGTTCAAAGAACCAAAGAAGGTTATTTTTTGACTCAGTCCCATTATGCAGAAAAAATACTCAGAAAATTTGGTCACTTTGATGATCCACCCGTTGTGACTCCTTTTGATCCATCAGTTCATCTAGCTAAAAATAATGGAGATGCAGTATCTCAGCTAGAAGAATATTCACAAGTGATTGGAAGCTTAATGTATATGATGAATAGTACAAGGCCTGATTTAGCTTACGCAGTTAGCAGGCTTAGTCGATATACTAGCAACCCGTCTGATGATCATTGGAAGGCTTTGATAAATATTTTTATTTTTATTTTCGGATTTCTTTTAGCAGAGGTTAGATTCAAACCAAAAGACTTATCTTTTTGTTTGAATTTTGAACACGAATAACTGTTGTTAACTGCTATTTTGAAGGGGTGTGAGTCTGTTATAAAAGCAGAAGTCCCATGCCATAATACATACATCTTTTTATCCATCTCTTACTACATTAAACTTACAAATTGTATTGGAGAGAAACACACCACCGTTCGCCAGAATCCAAGGATCCGGTGCTGGACCCTTGGATTATAGATAGTTGAATCCTGGGAGATAGACGCCTGTTGAACTTCAAGCACTGAGAGGAGGCGAAATTCTGTCTTTAGGACATTGCGAGAGACGCAAGCCTCTATCTACAATAAAAGTCAGTTTCCTGTATTTACTTTGCTTATACGCTTATATTGATTTTTTGTAGTTGGTTGTTGTCTACAATTTTAAATAATATATTATCGTTGTCATCTTATAAGTCATTTATTGATTTTTTCCTATCATAGTTGGCTAGATCAATGAGAATTATCTGCTTGCAAATCTATC